TGGATGGATGGATGGATGGATGGATGGATGGATGGATGGATGGATGGATGGATGGATGGATGGATGGATGGATGGATGGATGGATGGAGTTTTCAACAAACAACTCATGCCTGTAAAAATTAAAACAAAAAACTGACTTGTATTATTGATGTTTTTTTAAATGGAAATGTTCTCGCCATGCATAGTGATGTACAGGTTTTCAGATGTGTTCCTCACAATACTAGTTTGGTGTCTGACTAAGTTGAGGCTGGTAAAATATAATTCACTTTCAACAATAATATGAACTAAAACTATAATTAACCGTTCCCCTTATCAATGCTTCCTTTAGACAACAGCAGTACATGTGATTTCTTATCATTAAATATACAAAGTTAGATGTAACTATGATCAATTTGCTGCAGGGAATAAAAAAAGGTGCATGTATGAAACTGTGCATAAACATGCTATCACACACTTTTCCTTTATACATTGCAGTTGGCAGAAATCAAACCCAGCTGGATGAACTGCTTGGTATGCCAAGTACCCACATCCAAATGAATATGTTAAGTAGTATAAATAGCTGGATGGCTCCAACTGCATGTCAAAATAGACATTGCACCTCCTAAAAAACTCCCACTACAAAGAGGATTATTTAGACCTTGAGCTGGCAAGGAGATGCACCGTTCTTTAATGCCCCTCTTTGCACTGGAAAATCTAAACCAGATAATAAAACATCCATCATCATGCACCAGCAAGGCAGCAACATCTCTGAAAACCCCTCCGCAATCATCCCCCAACAATGGTCTCCAGCTTTACCAAGGGGGCCCTCCTTGCAAAATCATACATGGCTTTTACCCTGTTGATCCAGAATGCTGCTGACTGCATCTTTGCAAAATTTAAGATACTGTAGAACATCGCCCCAATTCTAAAGTCATTAAACTGCCCCTTGTATCTAAGAGAATAGACTTTAACATACTTATGTATTACAGACTTGTCAGTGTATAAACAAGTCCTCTCAAGTCTTCTGGCTCTAAACTCTACATACCCAGAGCCAAAAGCAAACATGGAGAAATCTGGAATAAACTCACAGAAAATTGCAAAGTGCTGAAAGTTGCCTTCAATCAATATTAAAAACATATGATAAGAGTTGCCTTTGACTGTGCTATCAAAGGCAACTCTAAACATAATTTGTCAAGTTTTCTGTCCAACATTCCTTTCATTTTTAATGAATCATTTTATCTTAAATTTGATATGATCTTCTCATTTGAAATGTAAATTTTTATTTTGTTTAATTGTGTAACTTTTATTCCACTGCAATGTACTTTTTTTTCTCCATGAACAGCACAATTGTGTTGCTCATGAAATGTGCTTTAAAACAAATTAGCTTTGCCTTGTCACTGATACTATGATAAGCATACCAGAAGGAAATAGTAGGAACTACATATTTTAATTGGATGAGATCATAATTGTAATTGTGTTAAAATGTTGATGAACAAATTATTGTGAGATACCCATTACCTGAAGTATGTTTTAAAACTTAATAAGTAAATAAGTTATAATTACAAGTTATTGCTCATTTTAATTTGAGAAAAATACCTCTTAATTTAGGTTTCCCTTTTTCACGAATCCAAAAAATTGGATTACTGTGTTTTTCATCCATGTTTAACTCTAAAATTTTCCTCTAGTTTCAGTGCTACTCAAAAAATATCTCTAGCTCTGAAATATCAATTGTCTGTACATCCATTATTTTGGGGGTCAATGAATTTACTCGTTGTGAAACTATCAGAATCAAACAGAACAATCATATTCAAATTATTATTATTATTCATTTCTTTACTTCACTTTTTAATGAGACTGCAGAAATTAACTGAAGCCACAGAGGCCTTTATACTTAGGACATAAAAGTTCATTAATGCAAATAAACATCTTAAGGCTACCTAATAACATCAAGAATAAGCCATCTATCTGAATGCAAAACATAGTGAAGGAAATTACACCAAATGTGTGTATTTACAAATATTGTACTATAATAGAATTATCTACTTGATTAAAACATATAGAGACATCTCAGATGGAAAACAGATTAGTTTTTGTGATGGGTTTTTTTTTTTCTTCTTTTTTTTTTTTGGAGGGGGGTATTTATGCATTACCTGGCATAAGAACGGCTTTTTTT